TGAACTAACGTTGAGCAAACCTTAGTTCAAAACTGCGACACTTGTTTCAGATTGGAGTATCTTTTTTGACTCGCATTCTAAGTTTGCTCTTTGGTGATAGATCTACTTATGGACCCTTCTTGATGGCAAGGAACATTGCATTACATGGCCAAACGAATTGGAGTAAGTCGACTCAGACCAGCCACCTCCCTTGTGGTAATGCTTTTTTCTGCACCCTCGGCGAGCAATTTGCAGCCACCAAAGGGAAGAATAGAGGGAAAATGAGGAAGGAAACCAAGAAGGTCAATGTAAGATCCTATGTTTTTAAGGCGACGCCTTGATTTAAGGCGCTGAGGGGGCGCTTCGACGCCTAGGCGACGCCTAGGCGCCTAAAGCGGACGCCTAGGCGCCTCGACGCCTAGGCGTCGCCTAGGCGTCGCCTTACGGACGCCTTTAAAACATAGGTAAGATCGGCCTTCATCATTGATAATAGCACCCATCGCGATGAGTCTATATACAGAAATTCTTTTCTCCAAAAAATATGTAGTGTTACAAACCGTAATGAGAGTAAGTGATGCGAATCCCTCTCATGTATTGCTCCTTTTAATTTGGGATATTTTATAAGTCGTATGATTTATCGATTTAAAGTTTGAGGCTGAATGTACATGATTTTGTTTTGAAATATGCAATGTGAAATTTTGATTGCTCTAGTGAAACTGGTTAGCACAAAGTAGATCTACATGTAGGATATTCTATCTTCTATTCAAAATAGCTAATCCCTCCAATCTATATTACTTGTCTAGATACGGATGTATCTAACACTAATAATATGGATCAGAGGGAATAGTTAGAAATTTTGTGATAAATAATACTCACTCGGACCCAAAATAAGTATGAAACTTGCAGATTTGCGATAATTGATAGATTTTGAATGTTCTATTAAGTATCATTAAGCTTAACTTATTCTTTTTACATTTTGTCATGCACGGAATGAAACTTCTAGCATGTGTTCTTGTAGCTTGGATTTTGATTAATCTATTCTTATAGCTTGGCTCCTGAAAGTTTTACTTTTTTTTCTTTCAAAAAAGTTTTACTTTTTCCATATATTATTCTTTTATGAGCCTCACTTATTTGATTAGTGTAGTTATGTAGTTATCTTTTATACGAAAATTTCTATTAGACAGTTGTTTCTAACTTAACACTAATGTCTACCTATAAATCATAGTTGTGCTATTTATGGTAAGTATCCATCTAATATATACTTTTATGAAGCACAACTGGAGCCAATGATGTTATTGGATCCCACTGATTGTTTTCCTGACCGAGAAAGATGTGTTGTGCATTCTGTACGCTACATGATGCAAATATTTTCATTAAAGTTGGCTAAAGTTCCTGTGAACACAAGCTCGGTACAACTATATGGATGTATAGCTGCGCGAGATTGTCTGGATTCATTGCTAAATTATATTGTCAATCGTAGCAGGGACGATCCCATTACAGTGCATCAGGTGAACATCTTTCACATCTCTACTTACCCGCAGTCATTTTTAATAGTTCATTGATTTCATAGTTTAAGGTTAATTTCATCACATGCATAGAGTAGATGGATCGAACTATAAACCTTTTTTATGGCATGCTACAACCACTTAGGTCCGGTTCGGAACTCCTTTGGCTTTGTGCTCCGCAAACTCCGTGCACTGAGCCAGGCCGAATCCGGCAGCTCAGGGAAGTGGAGCACTCTTCTAATGCAAAATGGTGAAGCGGCCAAAAGCCAGGTTCCAAAACATTTAGTAATACATAAATATGTACCTATTTACGTTTGGTGTTATGGATGAATATTTGCTTCCATGTGGTTAAATCTAGTAACTATGATATCAAATGGAGAATAATACTGTGTAATAGCAGTTACTCAGAAAAGATATTGCCGGTTAAATAGGTGTGAAATTGAGTGGTCTACTAGGGACTAATAGGTATTTTATGAAAGTCAAACGCAATAATTTTGGACCATTCATATTCTTTTTGTTTCCTTGAATGCGTCTATGGGTGCTTATCACAAATGTTTTGAACACAACAAATACCTTAGCCCTTGAACTACAAAATCTTTTTTGCCTGGTTGTAACTTTAAGTGAAATGTTATCATCTTCACTCATATAAACATTTGAGATGTGGTGAAGATGGTTCCAGTTTGAATATCTTATCTGTATGGTGTCTTGCGTGGGAATACATGTGCCTTGGAGGGGATGTTATAGAACGATGGTGTTCTCCTTGCATATATTAGGCTAGTTTATGGATGATTATCTTTTGCATGCTTTATCAAACATTATGACTTATGTTTGTAGGTGGGTTGAGAATCTATGCCACATCACTTAAATGCGATCCTCTAGAAAGAAGAATATACTCTTTAGGCAACTCTTTACTTTTACTATGAGCCACTATATAGCAATTTAATAATAGTTCTGCAGGGCTCTCTCATTGAGATGACTGGCCCTAAGAGGGGAATCACAATGACCTCTCCTGTTCTAGTTGAGTTTGACATGAGGATCAGGAAAGGAGAGCAAGAAGAAGATGATCTACAATTAATTGACGGTGCAATAGACTGCGAACTAACCACACCTTCCCGTCCATCCACTAACCGCATTAATGGCGATTGTGGAGCAGTTGACATCACTTTGGCCCGCGTTCCCGGTGCGGTGGAGGCCACTATAGATGTTATTATATCAAAAGTGCAGAGCGGATTCAGTTTATCTCTGAGCTCGTTTGTGTTTGCCGGTGGGTCACATGAGGGAATCGAACTCTTTTGTGGTACTATCGGTGAGTCATGTGGCTTAACAAGAAGATATGTGATTGCTGTACAGATGGGTAGTTGGATGCATTTGAAGTTCAATGTAGGTCAGAAAGGCTCTGAATATGATGATCTGGAACGCTATTGCCGCTTCAAAGCAGACATCCATGGGTGTGACTGTCGACAAATAATACTTGAGCATGCATCAATCTCGCTGAAGGTGACTTGGTTGATTGTGCGATAAAGTCGTTGTGTTTTGTATTCAGACTTTACTGGAATTATTTGGTCTTGCACTGGATGGATACATGTCCACTTGGCACTGGATGCATCTATCTCCTGCCGGCATGCTCCACCTGCGCGCTCTTGCGGCGCGGCTATCTCCAGTTCGTCCCAGATGAGAAGGGAAGCAGATAATGTTGCATGGCTCATTCCTCGTTCATAGTACTGTAATTGTGAATTTACATTTGCTTGAAGCGTCAGAAGCTTCATATAGTCGAGGATAGCACAGCTGCTCTGCGAAACATCACGTACAAAGACCAATTGTCCTGCCCCTGTTTTTTAGACACCTCTGTGCGAACCTGCAGAGGATGATTATCAGCAAACTGAAAATAAGATAAGGATGTAGCTGCTCTGCCTTTCATTGCTTTCGATCTTGTATACAACTTATTTATAATTACAGATCATCAAAATTATGTATGTAGCTGACTGAATAGCAGGTAAATCATGTACTCCCTTCATATCAAAATATAAGATGTTTTTGTAGGCTAGTTCAGTTTACAAAAAGGTCTTATGTTTTGATATAGAGGTAGTACTAAGTATTACTCCCTCCGTTCCGAATTACTTGTCACAAGTATGGATGTATCTAGATGTATTTTAGTTCTAGATACATCCATTTCTACGACGAGTAATTTGGAACGGAGGGAGTAACACATAACATGCAATATCTTTGCTAGGGAAAAAAAATCAACAAGCGTTCAGGTTCATAACCAAGCTAAACAAGTACTCCCTTCGGCTTGCAAAATAATCTTATACTTATGAAACCCTCTAGCTTGCAAAACGATCTTATATTACAAAACGAATGGAGTAACACTTTACAATCCATGGTGCTGTGCACCAACAGTAAAGATGTGGGGATGCACCTTGGTGTTCACAAAGCTGGGGAGCCCAAGAATCAGCATGGTCGACGATTTCAACTCCAGGGGCACCAGGGCCGAATGATGGAAGGACGACGTCGGTGAGGCTGCGGTGGCCAGAAAGCTACAACCCGCTTCTTTTCCCTCTCATTTTCTCTCTTACAACTTGGTAAAAGCATAATATTTAATGAAACTACTGTGCAGACGATGCTCCATTGTACGATTTGTGCCCGATGCAAATCTGATGCTCCGCTGCACTTTTCGTCCAGGCATCAACGGCTTGATCAAGTGGATCATGCACAAATCGTCCAAGTTGCGTCGTGTGTATAGCACTGTTTAATATTTAAATTCTTAGGCCAACTCCAACGCGCCGCCGCTGTTTTTCGATCTAGGGTTCCACCCGTGGTGCTCCGAGGGAGTGACGCGGGGGAGCGGGGTTTTGCACATTAAGGTCCTCTCAGGTCCAGCTTTGCCCACAAAAATAAATAAGAAATGAAAAATTGATGTTAGTTTTTGAGAAGGATACATTTACATGCATCTTGTTCCTCCCTGTCTGACAAAATGATTTACAGAAGCTCCTTTCTTGTGAACTAACAACTGAAGAATCTGAGCATGGACAACCTTATACAGTACAGTAAGAGAAGCTAGAGCAATACGCTTCACAAATTCCACCCTTTGTCGAGAAAATTGGTTGCGCTTGACTCGGATAAGATACAAACCAGTAGCTGCATTACTACTACTTAGTAGAGTAGTAATCCCTCCGTCTCGGAAATATTTGTCGGAGAAATGAATAACGGAGGGAGTATTATTTAGGCTATTTGTTCAGCATTCCTACCCTTGCTTAGCTACAGTACTGCTACCCTTAGCTGCATTACTACCGAATTGAACTGGTTAGAAGCCAGAACAACTTAACTAACAGAAGCCAGAACAATTCATCGTCTCATTCATACACTCATACTACTAATCATCCATAGCTTAGCTGCACTACTTCCACTGAATTGAACTGTTCGTCATACTATAAATCTTAGTATATTGCATTAAACAAGTTAACCATGAGAAGCCATCTAAGTTAACATGGTGCAGATAATCAAACGCATACGAGTACTTCACTGCAACCTCCTCGGCGTCCTGGCCTGTGGTGTAGGTGTAGCGGACTTGGGAGCGCCGCCGGCCGGTCGGATCAGATCAATCCGGACGCTGAGCATGAGTGTGTCGCCGGAGAGCAGCTCCTGGGGCACCGCCAGGAACATCCCCTGCCCGGGCGCCGGCGCGCCGGTGGACAGCGCGCTGCTGCTCACCGCGGAGGTCATGAGGACCAGGTTGTCCTTGCCGTCGCCCGCCGGGCGCTCCACGGACAGCTTGCACCGGAACTGGGGCGCCGCTTCGGCCGCGCCGTCCGGCCTGACGTAGACCAGCGAGACGGCGGTGGCAGCGCCGAGCGGGCCGAGGGAGACGAGGAACACGCTGCGGTCCTCCCCGACGAGCACGTGCCAGCGGCGCGACAGGGAGAAGCCGAGGTTCCAAGGCCGGCCGTAGCGGACCGTGACCGCGTGGCGCTGGTGGCCGGCGGCGAAGTGGTCGAGCAGCATCGCGCGGGAGCCCACGAAGACGCAGCCGGGCTCCGGGCAGGAGCAGGGCGCGCACTGGCACGCGCGCTGGTGGTCCGCCGCGCCGTGGTACACCACGTAGCGCTCGCAGCCGAACACCTTGTAGGGGCACGGCACCTTGGCGGCGCCGACCACGGCGTCCAGCTCGCCGCAGTGGGTGCCGGCGCGGCTGCAGAGGGCGGCGTGCCCGGCGCGGCAGAAGCAGCACACCACGTGCCCGGCGGCCTCGCACTGCGACAGGAAACGCAAATCCTCAACTTCCATGACCGTGGCAAGAAGATACTAGATATAATCCTAGAAGGGAAAAGATGACGAATTTCTTAATGATAAATACATAGATGTGTAATAATCGATCTACGCAAAGAAATCCTCTCAGAAAGTGAGATGGAAAGAGGGTTTTTTCGTTCTTCCAATCAAACTTGTGTTCTTGGCAAGCAGAATCGTGGATCACTCTGTCTCTGGGCGAGAGGGGAATTGAATCACCTTGAACACGGGAGGCTTGAGGGGGAGGAGGCAGGCCTGGCAGTGGAGCAGCGCCACGTCCATCCTCACGTCGATCTGCACCGGCGCCATGGCTTCCCCCGCCGCCGTCACAGCACCCCCACCCTCTCCGCCTCCGCCCTGCATCAAGACCTCTCCTTCCTCCCACTCCAGCTTCACCTCCTCACTCACGCTATTGCCGCAGCTCTCCCCTCCCTCCATTGTTATTTCTTCTCGCGCACACACATGGTGAAATAAGAGAATGGAAAAGGGGGGAGAGCGGCAAAAGAGGAAAACTAGAGGGGCCAGGGCGGCCATTGCGAGCCAGCAGAGCATATACCCAATAAGGGAAATAAAACCTCAAACAAAAAATAACGGAAATAAACAGGACAATAATTTGATCTTGTGTAGCCATCCTTGCTTTTTCGTTTTGACTGTTCAAACAGAAGAACGTTATGAGAGGAGGCCAAATTCAGTATTCCGACCTTTTTTTTTAAAGTTCAACATGATATGACCCCATTTATAAAAAGGGGGATCTGACCCTTTTTCCTACGGCCACGCACCTCGGCGTCAGCATAACACCACCTATCGGCAGGGTCTCTAGCGGTAGGGTACTTATCCACATCAGCGCCGGTAACGACCCATCCACCCCTACCGTCAATCTTACCGTTGGGGGCCTCGACGGTAGGTAGTTATACCCTAACGCCATTGACCCTGCCGGTAGGGTTTGAACAGTTAAAGGCCGCAGGGGGGCGGCTAGCAGGTCCCACCCACCAAGCCAAGCCAGCCCCCTTCTTCAGCCCGAGAAATAGAGA